TTTCTTTTTCTTTTTCTTNNNNTCTTTCTTTTTTGTTGAGAAAATGAAAAGGAAAATCCAGAGAAAAGAAGAAATAACTCTACATGAATGAAGGAAATAATGGGCTATTGACCCGGTTCAACTATTCATTTAATGAGGAATTGATGGCTTTGCTGCAGCTTTAATCAAAAGTTCCCGGTCTTTATCTGAAGTTATACTTGATAGTTGGGTGGCTTGGTTACGCCGTGCTGTGCTAGTTAACTAGTTGAACCACCGGCCTGCCTTTGAGATATCTCTGTGCTACCTACGGAATGAATATGCTATGCGGCGCAGGAGATTGCTATGTAGCTAGCTATTCTCTTCAGCCGTCTGCCGGATTGCTAGTGTCTTGCTACTATTCTCTCTTAATGGAGAGTATTATACCCTGATAACGAACGGTTCGCATACGGACCAATGTCATGCTGTGTCGATGGTACTCAACCCCCCCTGTCTTGCTACGGTCGAGCGGGCCGACATATTGATATGCACCAGATCACCAATCCCACGCAGAGCATCATTCTCCGGAGACTGGACATTACGCCGAGATGATGTTTAAGTGCTGCAAACTAGCAGGACGCGGGGATGATGGCGAGAATAGATAGCGGTGTTGAATGTCAGTGCTTTTCGACTCGCTTACGGACTTGGCTTGGGGGTAGGACGTTGACGGCGACCTGCTTGATTTGACGACAAGAGATGATGGCGAGATGAGATGACGCTGCTCTGATGATTGATTCTCCACAGATAGAGGCTTTTCGTGGCTAAAATAGTTACGCGTCGGCGTCGTGAGAAGAGTGTTCTATGAATGGCGAGTCGCAGCTCCAGTCCCACTGTATAGGAGTATGTAAGGAGAGGGAGACGGGACTCTTTTTTTCATAATACGAAGCCGGGGCAGAAGGAAGGGCCATTGCCAATACATTGTTGTTATTGGCATGGAGATTGGCCCGAGTTAAAGAAGAGGTAATGGGGTTCTTGGGGAGTGATGGAGAATGGGGAATATAGGAGTAAGTAAGGATAAGCATCCAGCGTCCAACCCAGCTGTCTGGCACCGCGTATCCCTTCCCACTCCGTCCATCTCCATTTTGCGCGGCATCTCCGCTTACCCACTCGCCCATCCTACTGAAGTTATACGGCTTTGCTTTGCTTGTTCTTTTTTTTTTGTCCTGACTTGTCGGTCTGTTTCAAGGTAGAGAGAGCAGAGCAATGAAGGTTCAACCTTGACTTTTGAGGTACTTGGTACGAGGTGTATGTCTATGTCTTGTATGAGAAAGGCCTTGCTTGGATGGACGCCGCCAAGAGCAGGACGCAGGAAGTATTAGACACAGACATCGACATAAGAATGCATGTCTAGTAATGCCTGTATATGCAGAAGAGAGTCAGTATACGGAGAAGACAAGAGCGCCACAAAAGCTACCCTGTCGACTCCGCGACCGGAGGGGCAGCAATTCGGCCAACCAGTAACCATAAACCAGTGACCACACTATATACAGTTATCTCCCTGGTAGGGTTTGCGGGTGGGTTAGAGACTTCTTCCTTGCAGGCCGTGATTGAATCTGTATGGATGTATTTATTTGATATTGCACTGGATGCGCAGTCGACCGATGTATGGAAGTATGGGGGAGGCCGGGCCGGGCGGACAAGTCGGCTCGCGCAGTGACAGTAAATAAAATTAATAACAAACAACAACAGTAATAATTAAGTCATGGAGCAGTCGTACGACCTTGACTTCGCTAGTGATTTGAGCAAGCGAGCTGATTTAGTTGTTAGTTCACCAGCAACCATCCATTGACTTTTTGATAACTTATCCCGCCGGCTGAGTATGGTCTCTCTGCCTTGTCAGCCGTCTCGACAAGAAGACTTATCTCGAAAGCAAAGAAGAGAGAAGCAAAAAGAGCAAAGCGAAAAAGGAAAAAAAAAAAAAAAAACGAATCATTGCCACCAGAGATAAGGGAAGGGGGAGAGAAAAAAGAGAAAAAAGTCTTTCCAACTTTCCTTGCATACGCCGAGACAAGTAAGTAAGTCGAGCCCCATCTTTGCTTTTTCCTGCTGTCTTCTTTGCTTTTTATTATTTGTATATGTGCATGGATGGTGCATGCATGGATGGGTGGATGAATGGAGAGCACTCGGACGTTTGACCTGGTGGTGGTAGCGAGGGGGGAGAGGGAGACTGGCAGCAGCAGCAGCAGCAGCAGCAGTCGGAGTTGTTGGAGGAGGAGGGATGACTTGCATTTCCATCCTTGCGCTGGGTGTGACGGGAGATAAGTAGGCCATTGGGCGGGCAGGATAGCGGTTGAATCGACCAACTGACTACAGCCTGAAGACTCTGACGGTACTTCCACTGTATAGCTAGTATAGCTACCTGCTTTGATGGTTGATTGATGTTGGTGGTGATGTTTGATATCCCTCCCCATCTCACCAGAGACAGTGTATGTATCAACCACCACCATCACCACCTACATCATCGTACATCGCTTTATCTCTCCAATGCAGGAAGAGCCATAAACCTTGCGAGACCCTCACCGCCTCCCCCTTGCCGCGAAGGTATACGAGCAGGAGGAGGAGGGTGGGAAGCGTCGGCTATCGGGGTGCCAGAAGTATGTAAGTACCAGTACAGGTAGACGGGCAGCTTAATCTGAGCAGAGTGGCTTGACCACCGGCGCTTGATTGGCGTTCGCATGGCGTGATGCGAGAGTTGCTTAACCAGAGTTACTGCTATCATGACCATCAATCATCCATCATGGCTGTTCCATGGGCGACATCGACCAAGGCATCAGGCGTGGCTTGCAGGCGGAGGAGGGAAGTTTGGCTCGGTGTCTTCGATGTCTGTATCAAAGGGTCATCAGCCAGCGTCGTACGATAGACAGTCCACCGGGTGGTGCAACAGCAATAGAGCAACTGAACCGCAGAAACAGCAGAGCAATAATTATTACTAGCAATAGTAGACTGGTGATAGAACAGAGCCGGACGGCCAGAGGGAGGCCGAAGGAAGGGCAAAGTACCCCCCGGTACCTTTCGTGTGCAGCGTTCAGGGCCAACTTCGAGTCGCCGCCCCGAGTTTCGCAGTGGGGCCGATAAGCAGTAGAAAAAGTAGAAGAAGACGAAGAAGACGACTAAGTAGAAGACGAAGAAGCAGAGAAGACGACGAAGAAGACGAAGATTGAAGTCTGGCCAGCTGCTGTCCGTGACTCGCCTTGTCCCTGTCACATCCTGGCCGGCGTCGCTGGTTGCTGCTGGTTGCTGACCTCCCGACCCAGAGGACGAGCGAGCGAGCTGCTGCGTCTGCGCTACCGGTGGCGACCAGGTTGACGGCAAGAAATCTGCATCCGCCGCCAGCTTTATTTTCACCTGGCGGCCTCCGCGTCCTCTTTTATCAACGTCTTCCTCCCCCCCCCCCTAGCCTGCTCCGTCTTTTCCTTTTCTCTTTTGCAAGTTCTTCTTCTTCTTCTTCTGCTTCTTCTCTTCGTCGTCGTCGTGGTTGTTGTTCTTCTTCCTTTTTCTCCTCTTCTTCTTCTGCGGTGGATTGTCTCGCTCGCTTGGATCCATCACCAGCACCAAAACTACACTCTTCCCTCCCCCCTGGACACCATTATATACCAGCCTCATAAAGAGAAGACCTTGCTTGATGCAGTGATCAGTTCGACCTTTCTGTCTCGTCTGTTACTGCTGGGCTGTAAGTGGAGTTGTGGATCGACATTCTCCATCGGCCACTCTAGTTATCTCCATCTAGCTCTTCTAGTTATCTAGATATGACCAAATACACCATGCTAACGGCTGGCGTAGGAGAGCCAGGAAGAGACGAAACAGGCCGGATGCCATACATATCCCCTTCGTCCGCTCCCCCTTCGCCTACTGGAACCTCGGCGGCTCCCCCGCGAGCTGGACCGGCATCAGCTACCACGGCGTCGTCCACCACCACCACCACCACCATCACCACCACGACTACGGCCACGACTACGGCAGCTGGATCTGCCCCTGTCCGCCGGCATGGACGTCACTGCTCCGAGCCAGCCGTGAGCTTCCAGCGGCCCTCCAGCAGCTCATACCTGCACAGACATAGACGCAGTCCCACTATCAGAGCTCCCGTGGCTCGTCTGCAGCAGTTTGAGGGCGGCAGTCAACAGGGCCAGCAGCAGCAGGTCCATGAGGCCTGGACGGCTCCCGGGACCGGCATGGGACTGGTGCTCTCTCCGCCGGAATCACGCAGCAATTCAAGTGACGAAGAAGAGAGCAAGAAGCTGCAGGTCCAGGGGACATCTTCATTGTCATCTTCTGCATCTGCAACCACATCAACGTCTACCGCTGCTGCAGATAAGACGAACGAGGGCAGTGGAAAGGGGATACTGATCTATTCTGTGCCGGAACAGGCTACCCAGACCCCCGAGCAGAGTGACCAGGACGAAGAAGAGATGCCCCAGAAACCACCCATGCTCCGCAAAAAGTCCGGAGAGCTGGTCCGGCCAGCCATCAGACTACGACAGGGCAGACCGCTCAGCATGCCGGGGACACCTACTTTCTCCAAAGCAGTGCACTTTGGGGCCCAGCTGGAAGAAGTCCGTCACTTCATGCAGCTCGACCGTCCCCTGGCCGTCAGTGCTGGATCTTCCCCCGTAGAGGAGTACGACGGAGACACCGAGTTCCCTTTCACTTGCTCCAATGCAGCATGTTCTTCCTCTTCCGCACTATCAACACCCAGCAAGGACCACTGGGAGGCCAGAGTAACCAATTTCCCCAGCATGCTCGACGACGCCCGCCTGAACAAGCCCGTTCGGCTCCGTCGTATCCAGCTCTGCCCCGATACCCACGCCCTGCTCGGCACCGTAGCAGTGGCCAACATCTCTTACTCCAAGCACGTCTCTGCCCGCTTCACGCTGGATAACTGGAAGACCGTCTCTGAAGTCACGGCCGAATACGTGCATGCTAACGCTCCTTGCATCGACCGAGACGAGCGAGTAGGCTTCGACACCTTCAGCTTCTCCATCGAACTGGCCGACCAGCTCAGACACGGCATGCAGAATAAGACTCTCTTCCTGTGTCTGCGGTATAACGTCGGTGGACGGGAGTTCTGGGACAACAACGACGACATGAACTATCAGATTGTCTTTTCACGACGGACCTCGAACAGCTCTACTTCTGGCTCCAGTGGCTCTGGCTCAGTCGGTAGAGATCCGCTGTTCAGGGCCCGTATGGCCAAGGCGAAGAACGCCAGAGGAGGCCGAGCAAAGCCGTTGTCGATGGTGGCCATGGGCATGAACCTGCCCATGAACATGCCCATCACCCTGCCTGACAACGTTAAGGTAGCTGTAAAGCAGCAGACACAGTTTGAAATCACCGCCTCGAAGCCCGGTGATTCAGATGTGGACGTCGACTCGGAGAAGGAAGGCTGGTTCCCGGACCCTGACTCGCCCACTAGAAAGAACAAGTTACGCACCAACGTGTTTGGAGACAGATATGACTTTTCTGCCTCTCTGACTACCTCCTCCTCGTCTGGTTCTGGTGCTGGCGGTGCTGGTGCTGGTTCTGCTGGCCCTGCTCGATACGGACATAAACACAGCCACTCCATGCCTCATCTGAACATGGTTGAGAGTAGCAGTGCCAGTGCCAGTGCCAGTGCAAGCAGTCCCAGCACCCCGAGTGACTCCGATGAGTCCCCTTCCCCCGTCGGCGAGAAGAGACTTTCCGACTTCCTATCTGATAGACCCAACCACCAGTCCCAGGTCTACAAGGAGCTAGTTGACCGATACTGCTTCGTATGTCTATTCCCTTTACTTCTTACCCCTTAACTATTTCTAACTAATAACTGTTTTAGTTCGGCTCAACAAAGTCCAGACGGTCAGGCGTGTCTTCCAAGGACGGCACTGGCGCAGAGGAAGTCGACGAAGACACCTCGACGCCCACCATGCCCATGTCTATGTCTATGTCCATGTCCACATCCACGGCCACGTCTCTGAACATGCACCATCTCACCCACCGCCTCTCTCCAGGCCCAGGTGGCCACACCCCAGTCTCAACATCCCCCTCAGCTTCTACTTCTGCCTCTCCCTCGGACACCGAGGGTCTAGCTACCCCTCCAGCACCAACATCAGCATCCACATCCACATCCACTTCAGTCCGTCCTTCCTTTACCTTTGGTCGTCCCCGTCCGGCTTCAGAGAGAGGGATGCCCGCCTCTCCTGCCCCCGCCCCCGCCCCAACGGCGATATTAGGATGATCCATCAACACCAACACTCAATCTATCCAACTACTTACTCTACGAGTCCATCCCAATCCCAACACAACAGCATCGTCTATCAGTGACGAGTTCCCACAACCACCACCACCACCACCATAACGCAACCACGACAGCACAGCACAGCACAGCACAGCACACTTAATTTGTCTATTTTTCTCCATTCCGTTCAGCAGGCATCGTATTTGTTTAACCAGATTGCATTATTTTTCTTCTTTCCGTTTTGCTTTCCGTTTTCCTTTCGCCTGACATCCTCCCCTCCTGTGCGCCCGTCCAATACTCTACTTGCTTTTGCTGCATGCTTTCATGTATTTATGTATCTTCTCTCTTCCTTTGCTTTCCTTTTTTTCTTCTTCTTCTTCCGGCGCATGGTACGGTCCGGCGTGGCGTCTTGTCTTTCCTCAGCGTCTTTTTCATGTTCATGGCTTCCGGAGTTTCTCTTCCTTTTCTAATGACCTCCCTCTGTTTGGCCGTCCATGGCTTGGCTCGGCTCGGCTGGAAAAGTGTTCTGTCTGTTCTGTTACCTTTAACCTTGCGTTCTGTCTAGTTAGTTCTACAGCTTGCTTGCTGCGTAGCTCGTAGCTCCCATGACATAGTTTATCAAGGGACGTCTACTAGTTGCCAGTTACTTGCTCTCTATCTATGATAATGAAGTCGCCTTGAAGTTAAAGTTGAATAAACTTCCAGAACTTGATGTTCTCCACGTGATGCTTATGTAATACCTGACTAACAACCTTATCTCACTTTCTTAGCAGCGAAAAAAAAAAAAAAAAAAAAAGCAGCCAAAAAAAGCTCCGCCTGTCGCGTCGAGATCAACGACGAAGAAAAGCAGGCAAGAAAGACGCAAGAAAAGAGAGAGAAAAAAAAAGTCGCCCTGCTGCTTTAGTTTGTTAAGGCGGACAAGCCAGATCACGCTCTGACTAAGCAACCACCCACTCAGCCCACTCAGCCTACTTTTATCTTCTTTCTTACTAGTACTAGCTAGATCACTCACCCCCTTTCGGCGCGCATATATTAAGCTTGCCCTGCCCGCCTGCGCCCGCCTGCAACTTTTGCACTTTACAACTCTCCCTCTCTTCTTCGCCTGACGACACTCGACATCGCGAGCTGCCCACGTTACGCGTCTGCTTTTATCGACTTTTCTTCATCGCGTTTATCGTCTTACTCTACTCTTCATCAACATGACTGGACGTGAGTATCTCTTCTCTTCTTGTTGATGTGATGGTCGTCGTCGTCGTCGCTGTTGGTGGTGGTGGTGGTTCGTGATGGTCGTTTTGGTGGTGAGAGGCTTGGCGGTGCAAGTCGCCACTCAGGCCGTTGCATGTCGCGTCCACCACACGACTGTCTACTTCCCTACCTACTCACCTACCTACCCTTCTCATATATATATATATTCTTCTCTTCTCTGTCTATGAGTATGCTAACTCCCTGCAGGTGGAAAGGGAGGCAAGGGTCTCGGCAAGGGCGGCGCCAAGCGTCACCGTAAGATCCTCCGCGACAATATCCACGGCATCACCAAGCCTGCCATCCGCCGTCTCGCTCGTCGTGGTGGTGTCAAGCGTATCTCAGCCAGTAAGTCTCCTACTTGACTGCCTTTATCATGCCGTAGAGTGTGTCATGCTAACCTCTCCAGTGATCTACGGCGAAACCCGCAACGTGCTCAAGTCCTTCTTGGAGTCCGTCATCCGCGACGCCGTCACCTACACCGAGCACGCTAAGCGCAAGACCGTCACATCCCTGGACGTCGTCTACGCTCTTAAGAGACAGGGCCGTACCCTCTATGGATTCGGTGGATAGAGTGTCAATCAGACGATCAGACTATCAGACATTCAGAGACGGATGGAGTTTTTTTTATCACTTTGCCTTTTTTTTCATTACACTACTCTTTAATTCGGAAGTGGGACGGACGGGTGGACTGGGTGGGCTGGACGGGTTGCTGCATGGTTCCTTTGAGCTCTAGCTACGTTACTTACACAATGGAGTCTGGTTATCTTGCCCTTTAAAACTGTTATCCTTGCTGTCTCTCTCTTTTCTCTTATCGTACTTATGTAAGAAGTAAGAAGTAGCCGAGGCACGCTTACCTCATCATCGGTCAAAAGATGGTCCGTCCATGCTGACTCATCTTACCCCGGGGCACTAGTCTCCTTCTGGAAGACGCCAAGTCCAACCTAAAACACGCCAAAGAAAAAAAAGGAAAAAGCAACTTCATCTCGTTCTTATCACGACGACCAACATTGACCAGGAGGACCAAGAGGACCAAGAGGAAGACGACTGGGTCGACCAAGAGACGAGAAAGCCGGAATCGGAGTCGCTGGACGCACGACAGGGACAGGCCCGCATGCACCCCAGCCAACCCGGCCAATAACGCTGATCAAGGAGGTATATATTTTCCGCCTCTTAAGGTGGCCATCCAGGGGGACAAGCATCGCCCTATGCGCCAGCCGCGGACGTATAAAATATAAATTCCTGCTTAGTAGTAGGTTACTCCAACGACATCTCCATATCCAGTGGATTGCCATAGCTGCCTAGCCCGTCGGGAAATAGCTGTGAAGAACATGTGCGCGGGAAAAGGTCGTATGTAAAGTTGTTGCAGAAGCCCACTCGGAGATGGCCCTTCTCCTCTTTTTCACTTCCCCCCCTTCTGCTGGGGTTAAAGTGACTGATCGTCGGCCGCAGGAGTGATCGTCATGCTACTTCGACCACTTTCACCACATGTTCATCCCGGCCTGAACCGAAGCTGGAGAGGAGTCACTTCCAACTAACGGAGCCAATTTACGGAGCCACTGGATTGCTCTGCGAGTCAGTCATTTTAGTCACTGCTACGGAGTACGGAGTACTTCTGACTATATAATATGAGAGTCATGGATGGAGTCAGCTTTCGATGGAGCTTGCTGCTGGAGTGCAACGGGCCAAGAAGTGTCAGGTCAGGCCGGGACAGGCGTTTACGGCAGAAAACACTGGCTGAAACGTGTTCCATCGCGAGTTTTTCCTCGACTCGCTCTGCCTAAAGTACTACTCCGTATTATCCTTTGGAACCGCCGCTCCGTACATGCGAAGCATGCGGCACGCCAAGTGAAGCAAGGCGGCAGGACTGCGTGGACTTTGGGGAAACCCTGACACCACCTCGTCTGTCCCTTTGCTGTACTGGGCCGATGTCTTGGATGATGATGTGATGTATGCAGACAAACACCAGCTGATAATACCCATGGCGGTGATGTGCCTGAAGATACCCACGGGTAGTCATGGATATTTTACTCTAATATCATGACGTCTGCCTACATGATATCCCCCCATGCTCGCTCATTTTACTCTACTTGCCCAGGGAGCTGCGGAGAACCCATGGCGGGTAGACTTTTTGGCGTTGGCGGATCCTGTTCCTTTTACCGCCCAGCTTTCCATTTTTCGTGGGGAAGTCTTTGACGTTTCTGGAAATCGAAGCGCAGCTTCGTGCCTTGTGTATGGTGGATGAGAAAACGACGATCAGGGCCCGGGCGGGTGAGGACGGACAGGTTGCTGTCCCCTTCGTTTGTCTTATCTTTTGCCTTTTTGTTCATCACCCGCTGATACCCTAAAACGAGGGAGTCTAAGATGAAAAGGGTCGGAGGTCATTGTATATATAGCCTGTCCCGTCTCGCTGTTTGACTACTCTTTTTCGCTGCCTCTTGAAACTCATCCCCCCCATCCATCTTCTATCTTCTCTCTTCTCTCTCTTTTTCCTCGGTTTTTCTTCTCAAGTCGGTTCAATTCTTCTGTCTGTCATCATGAAGGTCCTTGCTGCCCTCGCGCTGAGCGCCCTGGCCATGGCCAAACCAACTCCTCCCATGCCGGGCATGTCTTTGGTCCAGACTGGTCCTCAGGAGACTCGCTGGGTCACCGCCAAAGAGAAGCATGACATGGTCATGGTGAGTCTTGTGTCTACATTTATTGGTTACATATATGTATATACTAACTATAATGTAGAACCACATTGGTTTCTTCGACATCACCAACCGACCAGAGTCCGCCAGCATTGCCTCCAAGCCCAAGAGCTATGCTTTTCCCGGCAATGTCAGCCACCAGGCTGAGGTCAAGCCTCTGCTCGAGAAGATCTCTGCCGACCACATCAAGTCCAACCTTGAGATGTTCTCCAGCTACCCCAACCGCTACTACGACGCCCAGTCCGGCGTTGAGTCCGCCCAATGGGTCATGGAACAGGCCCAGGCGGTCGTTGGCAACATCCAGGGCGCCAAGGTCGAGATGGTCAAGCACGACTGGATGCAGCCCAGCATCCGCGCCATCATCCCCGGCAAGTCCGAGAAGATCGTCGCTGTCGGTGCTCACCAGGACAGCATCAACGGCAAAAACCCCCAGGGTGAGGCCCCAGGTGCCGACGACAATGGCTCCGGCTCCATGACCATCCTCGAGGCTCTGACTGCCCTTGTCTCCGACCAGAAGATTGCTGGCGGCGAGGCTGCTAACACCCTTGAGTTCCACTGGTACGCCGGTGAGGAGGAGGGTCTGCTCGGCTCCCAGGACATCTTCCAGCAGTACAGCCAGGAGGGCAAGGAGGTCGTCGCCATGCTTAACCAGGACATGACTGGCTACGGCGAGACCATGGGTGTCATCACCGACAACTCCGACCCCAACCTCACCAAGTTCACCAAGATGATCCTCGACACTGTATGTCCATTCTTCTATATTCTATGGTAATGGCGGCTTTTTTATGCTAACGATGCTATCCTAGTACACCTCCGCCAAGTACTCTGACTCCGAGTGCGGCTACGCCTGCTCTGACCACGCCTCTGCCAACAAGGCTGGATTCCCATCTGCCTTCGTCTACGAGGCTGTTGTCGGCCAGGACAACCCAGCCATCCACTCGCCCGACGACACCATCGAGAAGCTCGACCCCGCCAAGATGGCCGAGCACGCTAAGCTCGTCGTCGGCTTCGCCTACGAGCTTGCCTTTGCTACTCTGTAAATTACACGCATAGACTAAGAAGATGTGACGATGTGGTGATGATGCAGCAGGGGGATTAGAGCCGTCCGCTTTGATAGCGGCCTTGGTATGGACATGACATGATAGTTGGGGGCATGTGTGTGCATATCTGTACATAGCTATATTACTGAACATATATATATAAACCGAACCGTTTTGATCCACGCTTCTCTTTTGTTTCGCCGTCTTATACCTCCACTGACTCTATAGTTGATATGCAGGCTGGCCGAACTAGTGACTGAAGCCGCTTACATCATCGCGAGCTTATTCCAACTTTCAGCCATCAAAGCGACGCCGACTTCACTTTTGCTTTTACTCCTGCTTGCCGACGGTATTGTGAACTAACTATAGCTGATGTATAGCATAAGCTTGTCCATCTAGATCGATCATGGTACGTTATTACGTTGATGTCGTTGAGGATGTACCTAATTATCTAACTGACGAGCGTGCAGAACGACCTCCGCAGTTACGATCTATATACCTCGCTCGTATCCCACAGCGACTCCATCACTTCTGCATCCAACACCCTCACTGAGGGAACAGCTATAGCCCTCTCCACGGCTCTGTTACACCCGCTAGACTCGATACTTACCCGTCTACAAGTCCGATATGCCTCCCAGCACCACAATAAGAAGAAGGACAACCGAACCCGTACCAGGAAGCCACTAGATGTACTGGGCGATATAGTTGACCTAGCAGCCGAGAATGTCAAGGATGCAGAGGGTAGAGCGGTGCTGTACGCCGGCCTGCGTGAAGCAATATGCAAGCAGACGGCGGAGAACATGCTTGTCCCAGCTGTTTATGCGGCATTGCATGCTCGACGGCTCAACCTAGGACGGACAGCAGGGAACGAACTGCTCCTCTCCCTCGTCTCAATGGCGTTCGTCAAGCTGTTTACCGAACCTCTCGGGACGATCATGGTGCGCAGACAAGTTACGGGGTCTGGCACTCGGTGTGTCGTGGATGATATACTGCGCCAGAAAGGCGTGGGAGGGCTATGGTCTGCGTACGGGGCTACATTGGTGCTGTGCGTGAGATCGTGTGTCTTGCCAGTGGTGTATCTGGCGCTACGCAGAAGGTTGGGCATGAAGAGAGGAGGACTACTGGGCATGCTTGTTCTAAGGGCCATTGCTGAAAGCGTTGTGTATCGACTTGCTGTTATGCAGGTCTGTGCGAGGGCGGGTGTGAAGGCAGTTGGCAACGGAAGTAAGCTTGGTTCTACCTACACGAATGATTATACTATCTGTGTGCTAATGGTTTGTCTAGGCCTGCTGCTGGAAGTGATACGCACCCTGTCCAGCCAGGGAGTGACGACTGTGACGTCTGACGTTGTTACTGTGGCGATGATGCGCTTGTCTGCTGTTATGCTGTACATGCTTGAGCCGTTCCTGCTGTCTGAACAAGCCATTACAGACTCGGTTCGAGAGAATGTGGATGCAGGAGCGAGTCAGCCGCTGCTTGACGATGCAAAGTATATGAATAACGCCGTTAAGCGGGCTATCAGCATCGTGAACCGCGGAATCGGCCTGGCGAGTCACGGCAGGGATGATGTTGCTGTTGCTGAGCTCGTGGGTGACTACGTCGAGGACGGCCCGGAGGATGGATAGTTCTCTGGGTCAATCCATGGTAGGTTTTGTGTGAACTATGTTTTGAGTATGGCATAAATAAAGGGGAGAAATGACGACACGATCAATGACTTGGATGCATGTTTGGAGAGTTTGCAGTCAGCTTTTTCTATATATGCTGCGTCTTACGATTATGCATCTGACGTTTATATGATGTCGTCATCTGCACTGCTCAACGAGATATGCATCACGGTCGACTCGAGAGATATCATCACCATGCCTTTTGCGACACCCTACTATATGCCTTTAAGGGTATGTCTTTGTCTACCCCAGGCAGATCCCTGAATGAAAGAAATACTAACTGATTGCTAGAAACTCGAGATCGAGGATGACCCCGACAAGACACCAACGCAGACTCCTCGCAGGATGCCACCGGTTCTGGACTTCAAACCCCTGGACGATGATGTCGATGGGGACCCCAGACCGCGTCCAGACATCAAATATATGATTGCTCAAGGCAAGCATGCAGAGCTACGGGCTCTCAGCTATGCTCTTGGACATGGGCACCATGAAGACTATGCCTTTGATAATGAAGACCTGGATGCGCTGGTGGCTTGGGAAGAGGAAGAGGAACCGCTGGCCTATAAGGAATACCGCGCCCTGCCTGTGTACCATGAAGCAGATGCAGTGAATGAATGGAAAGAAGAAGAAAGGAGGAAGAGGAAAGAAGAAAAGGCGAAGAGGAAGAAGGCCGCCCTGGAGAGCTCTACAACTGGCTGGCTGTCGACCAAAGCTCTGCTCGGCCTGTCTGTGGCCTCCCTCTCGGTAGCCCTGATGCTGTGGATGATATTCTGGGTGACAGCCGACAACCACATGCTTGTACTCGTCCTCTTCGTATAGCCGTCTCTCTAGCTAGCTATCCCTTTTATCTTATATAAAATTGCATCTTCCAGTAACTATCCGTCCTGCTTGCTGTCGTCTCGTAATCTGGATCCAGCTCAGCCACCAACGCCACCGCCGGCTGCACCCCAGAAGCCCAGAAGCCCAGAAGCAACAACAACGAGATGAAGCAGTTTCAAGGCTCGCCCAGGTCGCCATCTAAATAACTGCACGACGCCGGCACCGCAGCCTCTCGCAGCCTCTCGACACGCTGACCTGCCAGGCTGGCCCTGGTTTTTTGCTTCTTCCTCTGCCCCGATGCATGTTTAATAACCCGCCGTCCTTATTGTCTCAGACCCAGCGAGCACCCGCGGCCAGCGTCCTGCAAGAAACCGGCCCCGCCCAGCTCGAACTGCGACCTGCGACCTGCGAACTGCTCTATATAAGCCTGTCTGCTGTGTCTCTCTCCTCCTGTTTCGCCCTCTGCTGGATGCCACGGGGGGTTTCGGCGAGATGGCGCTGCTGCAGAACGAAGAGTGAGCACACCCCTTGCGCCGCCGGGCGACGAAACAAGCTACGAGATTGATAGTGAGACGACTGACTGACTGACTGACTTGCTGGGACGCAGATTCACCATCTGGCAGCTTCGCACGTCGTACTTGGCTACGATCAAGGACGGCGTAGGCGACCGGCTCATCAACGTCAACTCCTCGATCCTCAACTCGCCCTGCTTCCGCTCGGCTGGGTGGTCGGCCACCGCGGACCCCAACGCAGCCCATATCAAGCGGACGCACTCGCCGCCCATACCCACGGCGACGACGGTGGGGGAGCAATATGCTGGATCTGGATCTCAAAGTACTGCGCGGCGAGGGAACGGGAGCGGTAGCGGGACTGTGAGGAATGAAGCCATCACGAGAGAGGGCAGCTATGCTGGGGAGGACACGCTGCAGCTGGGGAACCGGCGTGGAACGGCGGCGGACGAAGACGACGATGAAGAGATCACGCTGAATACAGAGGGGATTACGGGCTTGGGGTTCTCGAATATCATGCGCCAGACACACAAGAAGAAGAGCAGTCAGACGGATTTGAGACGGCGAGGGAGACAGAAGGTCTCGAGACGGCCTGTTACCCCGGGCGAGGCCGAAGAGGATAGCAGCGATCTCAGCGATGAGAGTGACGAGGAAACATCTAGACAGAGGTGATATATACAAATTCGAAGTGGTATATGGTGGTTACCTTGTGCTAACGTCTTGCTGGCAGGGCGATGAACCAGATACAATTTACGAAGATGCCTGTTCGACACCGGGCGGATTCCTCGCCCATCAGAGGCTCAGAGCAACAGGGCGGCCCACGGGTACTGATAACGTCGCCGTCTCTACGGTCGGTGGACAATCGGTTCCGAAGAAGCTCGCTGGGGGCCGTGGAAGCCATCAAGTCTCGGGCTAGACGAGACACAACTACAAGCAGCGACATGTCGTCTGATATCGAACTAGACCCCGAAGCCATGAAACGGCGGCAGATAAAGTTCTCGAAACATGAGAACGAGACGTTTGTCCCGCGGGAAGAGGACGAAGATGCAGAAAGCGAGAAGTTAGAAGAAGAAGTTGAGATGGAAGCTGAACTTGCAAATGGAGGACTGGGAGTGCGCCGGGATGAGCATGATCATGACGACGACTCGATTGCCGGGTCCGTTGAGTCTGCTATATCTTCGGACTTTGGACATACGGCTGGCTCAGGCTCGTTATTGGGCCGGGGTGGACTGGGTGCCTCGTCACCCTTGATATTGAACAAGATACCCAAGTCAGGCGGTAGTGGGAATGCAGCGCCGTCCGTATCGGCTACAGCCTCGGGAGCAGCATCAGCTGCAAATTCCTCGCCGAGAAAGGATAGGGATGCAGGGACGAGTACGCCAGCACTGCCTAGATTACCGGCTGCACAGGCAATCACACCACACCCAGAGCCCGTCAGTCTGCTGTCCAACATGCTGAATGCGCGCAAAAAGGCGCCAGAGAACCCGATGGAGAAGTATGCTGCTCTGTCGGGCAAAGGATCGTCGGAAACACCGCTGTATATCAAGCTGTATACGCCCGGTGCTGAAGACCCGGAAGAGCCGATGGACATGCCCCTGACCAAGGACACCAAGGACGGCGACCACTCGCGGCCCGTCACTGTTGCAGAGGCTATTGGGCTTGCTCTCTGGCGGTATACAGACGACAAGATCCAGCCTGCCATTGACGCATCGAAACTGGGGGTGAATTACTGGAATCTACGCATGGTTGAGGATGGAGAAGTTGACTATGACTTCCCGCCGTTAGCCAGAAAACGGCCGATTACAGACTTTACGTCGAATAACAACCGGGCAGCCGGGTTCAGAGGCCGCTCGAGAAGCAAACCGTACGATGAGTTTGCGCTGGTGGAGGCCTCGCCTGCGGAGTTTGCTGAGAACGAGGCTGCGTGCCCCGGGGATAGCATAGCTGTACCAGAGGCCTCTACACCCACGGCTGCACCACCAACGGAAGCAGCAAATACACAAGGAGGACCATCTGCGGCACCAGGTCTACCGGCAAACCACATCAAGGTGGCCATAGGCGGACGCATGAACCCGATCCTGGGCCAACCATTCAGCTCTGCGCTCAACGACAGCTCGCTGCGGCCAGCCGACCTGCCGGCCATCCCTACGATGCAGGCCACGCCTCGCCTGGGCGTATCAACCCAGCTGAAAGTGCGGTATGTCGACCTGGAGGCATCCACACGTACCACAACCCTCAACACCTCCACCGACAGTTACATCGCCGAGATCCTGGACTCGGTATGCAAGAAATGGCAGCTGGACAAGGGCAACTACCTGCTCAAGATCATGAACACCAACACCGTCGCACCGCTGGACCGCACCGTTGAGGCCCTGGGCACAAACACAGACCTCGACCTGATCCGCCGCCGTTTCGGCGCAGGCCCGTTGTCTCTCATGGGCTCGCCTGGCAGCTCATCCCCCAGTGCACCCTTGCTCGTCGACACCAGCACCAACGGGGCCTCGAAGAAGAGCAAGAAGAGCGCCGCCTCACGCATGCTGCATCCTCTCTCGCAGAAGCAGGACGTGATTGTCGGCGGCTACTATAAACGCTACAATGTCATTCGCAAGCAGTCCATGTCCTTCACCACGTCCAGCCAGCGCGTGTTGGCCTTTGACAACGACTACATGCACATCATGCCGGCGGAGACGGGCAAGACGCTGTTCGAGGCCAACAGCAAGACGACATCGATCTCGTTTTGCGATGTTATTGGGTCGAAGGTGAGCAGGCGGCATCCGAAGAGCTTCCGGTTTGTCGTCGTCAGGGGCGCGGATGCGACGGACCAGAAGAGGTATGACTTTGAGGCGAGGAATGCGGTTGAAGCCATAGAGATTGTCGATGAGATCAAGAAGAACATGGCCCATTACCGCCTGTGATGTGTGTCTTTCTTATGGGGTTGCTATAGGTTCCTGACTGTGATGTCTACTCTGCTTGATATGGCTGGTGTTTCTGTCTGTTCGGTGTTTGTTTGTATCTACGGAACGAGGACTCAGGACTCTTGTCGGCTTGGATAGAATGCATTTACCCTCTGTATGCTTGCTCTCTGTATGCTGTATGTCTGCTCTGTGTGTCTTTCTCTATATCCTTCTATAGTTATCCCCCTATGTCTCCTTGCTGTAGTCGCGACTCCTGATATCAAAATCTACCAAACATCGCCAACTTCGCCTCAACGTCAACTCAACATAGCGACGACAACAACCACAACAACAACAATAGTAATAGTGTAATACTATTAATCTGCTATTGATAACCTGTATGAACATCGGTCTGATCTCTCTCATCTTTGCTTCTTCCCAACCAGCTCACTGACCTGTGGCGTTGATCGTCTTTTCTCGTCCTGTATCTGACCAACTTCGCCAGCTTCGTCTTCACCACCAACCGACATCAACCTCCCATCGATCGCACCTCGTCCAGCTTTCTGTCTAGTTAACGGACTGCGTACGCCCTGCCGGCCTCGTTAACCCTCTCGTCCTCGCTGCTGAAACAGCCCTTGTTCCACCTCTAGCCGGATCCCAGCAGTTCTCACCCGCCGCGGACTTCACGGCACAAACGCACTGCAACCAACCAGCAGGCCAAAATAAAATAGACGACCACGGAGAGAGCAGACATCCAGCAGCCCCCCCAGCAGACGTCTAGAGAACGGCTTTATCCAGCGTAAACAGACCCTTTGAACAGCCTCGCCCGCCCGCAGGCGTCTAGATTATCCAGCCGTGTTGCCACGGAGCGCGGGAGGCGTTGCTGTCCCTCGCTGCCCTTGCGACCAACCAACCTCGCCCTATATCTGTCGTCATATAACAAGATACACCGCGGCCAGCTACGTAACTGCAGCCATATAGTAACGAGCGAGTATCTATACTTCCGTCCTCGTTATCGCCCTGTCCTGCGTCCGCCGATAACGTTTTTTCGTGCAGCATCCTCGCATCCTCGCAAGCAACCCTGGTGCCTCTTGGGCCTCGTCTCTTCCGCCGCCGCCTCCCTCCTGCTAGTGACCTACAATACGATAACTAGTTACGAGAACAAAGCAAACGAACAGACTCTTCGACACGGCGGGCTGCTTCTGTTCCATGCCGACCTTTGGAGGCCTCCTCAAGAAGCGGCGGACGAAGGACTCGAAATCAAAGGACCTCGACTCTGAGAACTCTACTACAAACAACACGGCTGCTGCTGCTGTTGCTACTTCTACTACTCCTGCGCCAGCTGCCTCCGTGCAAGGCCGTCATACAGCCCAGTCCAGCGTCGACAGCGCAGATACCTCGAATCTCCCGCCATCTGCCGCCAGTAAGGACTCTGCCGCCGCTGCTGGTGCTGCTCCCGAGCCTGGTTCTGGTCCTCGTCCTGGTTCTGGCTCTGGCACTGCTGAGCCTGTCGCCTCTGCTGCCCCTGCACCTCCCGCGCCCGCTGCTGCTGGCGGAGTGACTGCCGCTGCCATTGACCCTCCCTCGACCAGTCTGACGCCCGCGCTCGCCAACATGTCGACCGCCTACCAGCGTCCCAGTCCTGGAGACGTCTCGCAGTCGAGATCTCCCCAGCAGACACAGCCGTCCGCCCTCCCCCAGCCTCATAATGTCACCAGCATCAAGAATATCATAAACCCGCCCCACCATGAGGACCAGCAGCAGCACCACAACCACCAGCAACAACAACTACAACAGCATCAACATGCTACTACAGGAACGCCCGATGCCTCAATTCGAGCCTCGCAGCGCCAATTGAAGGGCAAATACTCCCTCAGCGACTTTTCCATCCACCGCACGCTGGGGACGGGCAGTTTCGGCCGAGTTCATCTCGTTCAATCTATACACAACCAGCGATTCTACGCTATCAAAGTCCTCAAGAAGGCCCAGGTTGTCAAGCTCAAGCAGGTCGAGCATACAAACGATGAGCGGGCGATGCTCGAGCGGGTCAAGCACCCGTTTCTTGTTACTCTATGGGGCACCTTCCAGGATGCAAAGAATCTCTACATGGTCATGGATTTCGCAGAGGGTGGTGAGCTCTTCAGTCTCCTCAGAAAATCCCAGGTTCGTGCTATGTACCATCCCCGCGTTTGTTTGCCTAGTTGCTTGCGGAGCGGCTGTTTTTGCCTGGATACTGACCAAGGTTATGATGTAGCGGTTTCCCAACCCGGTGGCGAAATTCTACGCCGCCGAAGTTACACTTGCTCTGGAGTACCTGCACTCCAAACACATAGTATACCGAGACCTGAAGCCCGAGAACCTGCTTTTGGATAAGAACGGGCATCTCAAGATCACCGACTTTGGCTTCGCAAAGGAGGTACGGGATATTACGTGGACGCTATGCGGCACGCCGGACTACCTCGCCCCTGAGGTGGTTTCCTCCAAGGGCTACAACAAATCTGTCGACTGGTAGGTCTATTTTCAGCTACGTGCATACCCTATAATGCGCTCGTTGTTTGCTAACATGTAATTCAGGTGGTCGCTAGGTATACTCATCTTCGAAATGCTCTGTGGTTTCACCCCATTCTGGGACAGTGGCTCGCCCATGAAGATATACGAGAACATCCTAAAATGCCGCGTTAAATACCCGCCGTCCCTGGTTCCGGATGCGCAGGATCTACTATCGCGACTAATCACACCCGATCTGACCAAGAGACTGGGTAATTTACACGGTGGATCTCAGGATGTCAAGAACCATCCATGGTTTGCGGAGGTCACCTGGGAACTGCTTGCTCAGCGACGGATAGACGCTCCGTACATACCTCCAGTCAAGGGTGGGTCGGGCGATGCATGCATGTTCGACACCTATGCGGAAGAGACGGAACAGTATGGTCTTCCTGCTGAAGATGAGTACGTACCTTATACCCTCACACCCAGATACACCCTTGCCGGCTTCTAGCCAGGTTGAGAACTAATTATACTAACCTTGCCACGCAGGTTCGGCCATCTATTCCAGAACTTCTAACACCAAGATCCTGTTTTCTCCCCTACTGTTCCGTACTTCCTGCCTCCCGGTTCCGAAAGGCGCAGGCAGTATATATATACAAATTATATATATTCATTTATATCATATCCTTCTTGTGGGGTTCAAAGCTAGCGGGGACCATAACCTACATCTCCACTGCTTCAGCAACAGCTGGCCTGTGATTTTCCTCTTATATCTTTGGCTTACATCTCGGTCGATCTCTTCGAGATGTTCATATCCCGCCATCTGCCCATCTCAGCCTCCTTCACCTTCTACCTTACTCATACTGCAAAGAACGAAAAAAAAAAAAGGAATATTCATCGAACTACACCGGTGACATGGAATACGGACGAGCAGGAAAGGTATACATCTTATCCCCATATGGTGTCTTTCTTCTTGTCATTGCTTTCCTTTCCATGCTACTTTTCCTCGTCTTGGTCGTTGCTTTCTCCTTATGAACAGGCAATTTAATACTTAATTGTCTCTGTACACCTCTGATGCATGGATGAGTCTGCTTCTTTTTTTTTTTTCTAATGTTCTTTTCGGGAGGGCTCGTTATCTATTCCAATTGTTCTGCTTGCTTGCCGCTATATCTACGCTGGCTATTTCTTACATCTGCCTGCTCCTGGCCGATGTCCATGCCATAGCATGGTATATATATTCCATACCATATCCTACCATATATCGATACGTGGTTTGCACCTCCTTTGATCGTGCCTTTTGTTTCCTTTGTCTTTGCATGTTGACTTGGCCAGCTGGTGGCCGGCGAGGGTAGGGCGGTGGCGGTGACGTTGAATCCCATGTATGCATCTGCTCTGTATGGAGTATCCAGATGTGATAATGCGCGGAGTATTAAATCTAAAAGTGTCGTTGGTCAAAGAATGCTTATATAGCATAAATTCTGTATGTTTCCTTTTTTTGGCTCCCAAATAATGTACATGTTCAGGTAAGTTTTGCATCTGTCTTCTCCATGGCAGATAGCAAGGCCAGATAATAATAACATGGCCCAACACTGACATCAACCAAGTATGATCGTACAATCTCTCCTCTCTTCTTCTATTTCCTTTCAGCAAACACCTAGAGCAGTTCCGGTTCCAAAGGGTATCTATCATCCGCCCATCTACAGGTTCGTATTCACAGGAAACTTCGCGCCCTCTGTCTTCAGCCGAGCAACGTACGTTTGGCTCACAGTGTTCCATAGAGCGATGTACTTCTCCATACAGGTCTTAAGGCAGGTCTGTTCGTTCGAACTAAGGCTGGATCCGGGTGTAGGGATGCACTTCTCAAAGCAATTCGAGTTGAGTTTCTAGCATCCCGTTAGCATTTGTTTTGTCCCAACGAACAGCATGATAAACCGTATGATAAGGGTGTAGATACCTCCATGAGCATCTTCGCATTGTTCATGGCACTTTCGCTCTGAAGCTGCTGTACTATGGCACTCTTTATTTGTGACGAGGACATGTCGGAGCCATTGGAGGAGGAGCTGAAGGGGTTCGAGAGAGACATTGCGGCGGTGAATTGAATATGGTTTATCGTCCTGTATCAAGTGTTTCTTCTGCAATTATAATTATTATTATAACACTCTTTTCTTCTTCTTCTTCTTCCTCGATGTCGTTTCTTTATCGCCTTTTTCACTTCTTCAACTTTTCGTTTAGTAAGCAACTCAAAACTAATGTCATGTGATATGATTAGTAAATATGATGAGTCATTAATGACTAATCATATTCCTTTCGTCGCCGCAAAAAGAAAAAAGAAAAAAGAGAAAAAAAAAAAAACAAAAAAACAATCGAATATAAATCTGATTTGACGATTTGAAGCTGGGAATGTTGGACACTGGGGATTTCGCGGCGAGATACGCGCTGTTTACTGGTCTTTGGCCGTGTGAATGCTTTTGCTTAACGGCCTGCTGCCCACATCGCCCACTGAGGTCCACGGGTCCATCTGAAGAGCCCGGATAAAGTGTTGATCCGCCAGCTGCTCTCCGTCGCCCTAGATGGAAGTGGACACAGTTATCTATACAGGAACCAACACGTCCAGCAACCCAAGCATCAATTGAACAGACGCCGGGTGTCATGTCCTTTGTGGTCTGCTACTGCGGCATCGTCTAGACCCAGACTACAGGGACTTATTTTTACTTCCATTGCCTGCTGCAGCCTCCCTCTAGCCCTGTACGCTCAGAAGATTCCCCCCAAAGCTCAGCTACTTGAGCAAGCAGATGTCCCGGTGACACACGACACTCCCTTTGGATCTTCTCTCTTCACTCTCTAATTCTTTTCCCTGCCCGGCCTATTATTTCTCTCTCTCCATTTTCTCATAGCCCTCACTTGACCCGCCGTAAGCATGGCGTGGAAACTGTTACCTTTTATATTACTATCGGTGCTTGGTGCGGTCAATGCAAGCACCCAGGCAAACGAGAATGATTTCGAGAACCACCCTAGCACCAAGAGGGTGCCGGTATGTAGTTTGTCTGGCGCATCTGGTGGTATTGGAAGGTATGCGCTAATCAGTATTCCCTGTAGATGAGATCATTTAGTTTGGCCTCGGTACGTGCAGTCGACCCGGATAGATGGCGCATAACCAGATCCTAGCTTCCCTGAGATAGAATGGTGTTTTGCTGACTGGGGATCGCATTCATGTCCCTTGACGGAACAGCCCTATCTAGATTCCGATATGTCTAATCGGTGGTTTGATTTTGGAGGAGACACCGTTATCCGTGCGGATCGGTACGTTTGCCTCGCGCAAGAGATCCCGGCTAAATGATGAGGAGCAGAATACTGATATACGCAGATACATTCGATTAACCGCCGACCGACCATCCCAGAGTGGTTGGATTTTCTCTCGTGTACCTCTCACAGCAACCAACTGGCAGGTGGGTAGTTCCTAGCCTCTCGAATATTGGACCTGCGTCCTAATATATGGCTGTACAGATCGAGGTTGACTTTGCCATCAATGGCGAGGGAACTCTCCACGGCGATGGTATGGCCCTCTGGCTTACCGAAGGTCGCGCGAACCAGGGTCCGGTGTTTGGATCTGCGGACAGATTCAAGGGCCTAGGCATATTTATCGATACCTATAAGAACGGTCGGCAAGGAATGACTTTTCCGCTGGTTATGGCCATGCTTGGTGACGGAAATACTCCATACGACCAGGCCAGAGATGGCCAGGCCAATGAGCTTGCATCGTGCTCGGTACGGTAGTGACCAATTCCAATTTTTTTTTTTTCAGAACCATATTCCTCTAACCAACTGTCCATTCTAGGCTCGTGGAATCCGCGGTTCCTCCTACCCAACGAAGCTCCGTCTTACTTACTTCCAGGATAAGTACCTCGCTCTGGACCTACAGTACAAGTCAGACATGGCCTGGACCTCATGCTTCAAGATTCAATCCAGGCCTGAGTCCCCGATTAATCTTCCTGCCGCCTCCTATCTTGGCTTCAGTGCCGAAACTGGCGAACTAAGTGATACCCATGATATCCTCGAAGTCGATGTATACTCCCTTTACACTAAACAAGGAAGTGACAGCACCGGTCCCGGCCAGATGGCCCAGTCTGCTAACCAGAGAAACGCCCAGAGGGAGCATTCATACCATGCAGCAAACAGCGGCGGCAGTTGGCTATGGTTCTTCTTTAAGGTCATATTATTCTTCGTGGTTGTTATTGGAGGATACGTTGGATGGACTGCTTACCGCGCCGCTGTCAGCAGGCGGTTCTAATTTGGATATCGCCTTTATTATCATACAGTCGACATAATCACCTACTACTCCCAGTTACCTAAACCTCCTTCCATTTCCCTCCTCTTGGATACACACCTATACTCCGCCTATGTGTTCTTAGGCTTCATAAAATCTCTCTGTTTCAAGGCGGGCATTCATTGTTATCATTTAGGCTTCGTACAAGCGGTTTCTTTCCTACTACTGTTCTTACCTTTCCCTAATTACTTTCTACCCGTGACTGATAAAGTTGAAATGGACGTACGATGATGCTGATATAGTGGTCAAAAAGTGCATTGGATTTACCTCTCAATTTTAGACGTAAATTGTGTCTAAAATGTCATTGTAGAATACCATGTTATCGTCTTGCTTGCTCTTCCACCCATATCCGATCTAAAATCTGGAATACTTCGGTGGCAGCCTTGATTATATTATCATCAACTCCCAAGACTCCGTATCTATGCCGTATTTTGTCAGGATGCCATCTCACACGCTCCAGCTTCAAAACAGCCAGCATATTAGAGTGCCTTGATGTTCTAGAACTGGTATTTTCGGGCCCAGAACTACCATTCGGAACCGGAGCGTTGCTTAGAAACTGCCTCACAGAATCTATATTCACGTCCTTTCGCTTGCCAGATTCAACAGGCCAAACCAGCACGTTACGAAGAGCATCGCCAGGATTAGCAGAAGCTTGACCTTCTTGCGCCCGCATATTCAAATTCTCCCAGCAGTCAAGATACCGTTTCCAGATATCAAGCCAGGTGTTTGTCTGTTCTTTTCTCGACTTCCTCTCCTTCCCGCGCTTCAGGCTTTCTTCCACCATCCTATCAAACGCTTCACGCTCAGTTTCTGCTCTGCTGGTATGCCTTCCGTACGCTTTGGCCTGTTCCCTTTCAGCTTCACGAATCTTTCTCCGTCGTTCTCTTTCTTCTAGTAACCCCTGGTGAGTCTTCTCCCACATACGTGCCCTAACATAGGCAGCATATTCATCATCGGTCATCTTTTCAAGCTCTCCCCTCTCATCCGGTCTAGCATAGGTATGTATCGGCTGGCCGTACACTGCCTGCCAATAATCCGCCCCTTCGTCATCAGCAAGTGCGTCGAACAATGATTCACGAAAGGCCGTGTTAGGCGAAACGGGCGGTGAGCGATACTCCTCTGGATATGGTTCCGGTTCGGGATCTTTGCGATGACGGCGGCGACGGTGTCGATGGTGATGGTGTCTGTGTTTGCTGCTCCCATCATGGTCGTCTTCCTCGCGGGATCGTTTCTTATCGTGGGATCTCCGGCCGGATGAATGTTTAGATTTCAGCCGGACCTTACCAGGCCGTGACGCCCGGTACTCATCACCCTTAGGAATAGTATTAGCTCCATCCGTAGGCTTATCGTCCCCGTGGACCTCGCGTTGGGGTGTGGTTGGATCCATCACTAGGACCATCAGAGGTTGTAAGCCTTATGAAGGTGGCTTCGGCAAAGAACAGCCGTCAGTGTCATCTACCATCGTGACAGAAGGACCGGGAACAAAGAAAGGAGCCACAAGTTTGGTATCCCCAGTCATGATAATAGCATCTTCATATCTAATGGTTGTTCTTTTGTCGTTGTTTTCTCGACCAAAAATTAAAGATCCCGAAAGTGGCACGTGATGCGGCTCAACTGAAGCTTTATCCACTTGCAGCTTTCGACTTTCTGACAACATCGACGACATCGACACAACCACAACAGCTGCGGCATAGCATTTACGATGGCGTTGGTTACATATTCAGACTCTGAAGGCGACTCCGATACCGAGACGAAGCCCACTGAGCAACCTAAAGCGCCCCGCCAGGCTCCAACCTCAAGTTCCAAACCCGCGTTCAAGCCGCTGGTTGACCGTGGCAACCCCAGAAAAATCCTCGTGAACCTCTCGGAAGCTAAACCCAGCGAGGGAGCGGATTCAGGACAGGATAAAGAAGATGGCCCTGCGAGGAAACGGCTTCGTACTGAAGGCGGAGGACTATTCTCCGGATTCAACGACATGCTCCCTGCACCAAAAAGATCCGCACAGAAACCAGTCGATAAGTCACAGGCCGGGGTCAAGAAATCAAAGCCTTTTACTTTGAAGACAAGTGCAGAGCCTGGTTTTGACCGCAGTGAGAGATCAGATAACTTCAATATGTCTTGTGATGAGTTCGGCAAACCATCCAGCGGCCAGGATACTGCTGCACAAACTCCATCAGAAGAGGCTTCTCGAACGCCCGTGCCAGAGCCTGTTTTTGAGAAAAAAGGGAATGCGATGATGTTTAAACCGCTATCCGTGGCTAGAAATAAACCAAAAAGGAAGATGACGGCAGCCGCGCAGCCTGTTTCGACTTCGAAAGCACAGGCTGAAAACCCTCAGCCTCCCGTACAACCAGAAGCAAGACCAGAAACGAAACCAAAAGTGAGCCTCTTTGGGCTTTCCAGTGGTGCCGAAAGCATCCCATCAACCGACATCACCGCTCAAGATGAACCATACGAAGCTATACTTTATTCAACGTCGTCAGAGCCATCAGGGGCACTCGAAACTAAAGTGCCAGATGACTCGATAGTCACAACCACCGCAGCTTACAACAATTCACCTGCACCTGCGGCCTCCAGTGGGCCACAAGATCTGGCCAGTGTTGCTAGTGATCTCAATCTTTCGAAATCGCAGATGCGACAGCTGTTAGGACGCGATCTAAAAGGTGCATCTAGTAAAGTCATTAACTTCAACACGGATGAAGAGTACAAGTCCAACTCTGCCTACCTGGCAAACACATCCGAAGCCGAGCTCGCTGCTCAGCAACATAGACCTGTTAGGACTGTTGCACCTGGAAAGCACAGCCTGCACCAGCTCGTCAATGCAGTGGCCAGCCAGGGTGACGCACTGGAGGAGAGCTTTGCTACCGGGAAGCGGAACAAGAAAGAGGCGAGCGCAAAGTATGGGTGGTAGAGTTAGATGCGAAATAAATAAGCTGTGTGTAGTGTATCCAACATCCGGATAAGCCTTTACACCTCGGAATAACTAACTTACTACCTAGTCGCCACATCTATCAAACGTTGGTATTAGCTGTTTTGGCAGCTGCCCCGGTCCGCCGTTGGAAAAAATAGACCATGCTGCGTCGCTGATCCCCGCTCGCAGAGCAGATGCAAGATGCCGCGGGATCGAGCTGCGTATCGAAATGTCCGCCTTTATGACGCCTCCACTGGCACCCTCATCGGAGGTTTTTATCAGAACGGCGCAATTACTGAGGAAAACCTCATCTGGATTCTGAGCAACGTGCTTTTAGCCACTCAGGATGCAAATACGTGGACTATTCAGCAAAGAACCTCTGGAGAAACCGTTACACCTTCCAGCGAGCCGGTGAGGCCTGGAGACTATGACATCCATTCAACAGGTACAGGCTTCTGGCTTCTGAAACCCCCCGTTAATATCAATACTGAACTTAATATATATATAGGACCGATCCAGGTAACCGATGAACCGTGGTTTGCCAGGATCGCTAGCCACTCCATCTCCGGCGGGGAGGACCAGTTCCGCGATGGAGTCCGTGCTCGAGACGGCCGGTGCGTGATATCTGGGCGGATCAACCGCGGGGCGGAGTGGGACGACTGGGCAGGACTAGAGTCTGCCCATGTGTTCCCCCTGGAGAAGGAGAGCCTCTGGGTGCAGCTAGGCTACGGGCGTTGGATCACCAACATGGACGATACTTCGGCAGAGCATAAAATCAACTCTGTTCAGAATGGACTTCTCATGTCGGCGCATTTTCACAGACGCTTTGATCAGTATTTGTTCTCAATAAACCCAGATGTAAGTGTTTTTTGATGTCCAAACGCGTTATTGCTATACTGATATATCAAAGGACGGCTATAAAATCGTCGAGTTCGGACTGGACAGCTGGGGGATTGATAGCCGGACGTTGGACCCCGTTTGCCGTAATCCGGCCACCAGAGATCGTGTATCGGATGAGCTGCTCCGCTGGCACTTCCGACAGGCTGTCCTTGCCAATATGCGCGGGGCGGGAGAGCCTATTTTCGAATCCGACTTCCCTCCTGGATCCGATATGATGGCAACATTGCGCGAAGAGCTGTATGGCAAGGAGAGATTCGAGATGGAGCTTGAGTCAAGACTACGACCTGGAACCATGAACAGCTAGCGGAACTATTGAACTCCCCGCTCCCCTGTGTTCCTCTGTTTCTTTTTCTTTTTTCCTTTCTTTTCTTTTTAATGATAAGCAAGGATGAAGCAGACTTATTAGTTATTATCCCTGCTTTGGACTTGAGAAAATATTCACTGCCCCTCGATGACCCTTCAGTACATCGCAACAAGTGACACTCCATACCTGTAAACCAGCTGAACAGCCGTCAAAATGACCGTCAACACCCAAGTGATACTAGACTACACACTGAACGACCTCTACTCCCTTGACAACGATGGGTCCCCTATTCCAGCCCTCGTTCTTGACTCCCAGCCGGTGGAGGACCACGCCATGGTGCCGTCTGCCAAATACGTCTACCATCTGGCAGCGCAAGAAGGCTCAGACAAGATGCTGATCCTGTTAACAAGGAGCCAGACTGAGCGGCGCGTGTTTCTGGCTGGCAACATGCCAGTCTTTATTGTGGACTTTGCATACTCGCAGCAACATCCAGACAGCCAAACTATGGCAGCGGATAAAGCTGATATGTACAGACATTTTTCAAAGATGAGGCCTGACCAGCAGCCTGCTCTCAAGTTCGTGCAGAGAGCCGACCAGATCACTGTACCGCCGAACGTACCTGTGGCAGTGGTGGTTCCAATTGACCTGTTTGCCGCTCTGCCTCATGTCCTTGACCCGGATGTGCATTTCTGCATCCTAGCAAAGCGAGGGCTGGCAGTTTCGGGACTGCCTACACCCCCATCCACCGTGGTAGACGTGGCTCTCCCACTCGACCAGCTGCGGGATGATACCAAGATGGGACAGGAGATTTCGCGCATGCTGGAACTTATCGACACTTACAATACCCCGTTTGTAGTGAAGCTACCCCAGTCAGTGGCGGCAATGGGCACTTTTGCGATCCGTTCGGACAATGATAGAGAACGGGTGAAGGCCATTCTCAGCACCCATATGCGTCTTATGCTAAAGCAGATCAATGCTGCCAACTATCATCTCAACCCTTGCTCTCTGGTCTTCCAGAACTTCGTTTCAGGCACAGAGGTAGCCCTGTCGTTTTTTGTTACCCGGACCGGACGTTGCATCTTTGTTGGATGTTTTGATCAGGAGTTTGATAAACAGGGGCGCTGGACAGGGGGCTCGATTTCGTATCCTGACCAGCCAGCTTTGGAGGAGAAATATGCAGCCACCATGGAGAAGACTGCCAAATTCCTGCATGAAAAGGGGTACTACGGGCCTGCAGGAGTCGATGTCCTGACAGATAGCCAAGGGAATCAATACATCGTGGATCTCAATGTTCGTCTAACGGGTCTCTGCCATCTGGGCTTCCTTAAGGGCCATTTCACCAGTAGAGGACTTGACGTGGCCTCAACAGTGACAGGATTTTTTACCTGCTCTCGAGACAAAATCGAAGAGATATTTTGCAATGAATTTCAAAAGGGGAGCCTTGTCATCATTTCCTGGTCGTACGATGACTCGATGAAACTGAGCTGTGGCGCAATTGGCGTTGGAGGGAAGACGGCTTCGGATATAGAGCGGCTGGCAGCTAGAATGCACGAGTATACCACTCCGGGGGGCCATTGTTAAAATATTAAGTTGACAAGACTCATGGATTAACAGTACCTATGGTCAATAGAATAGTAGCTAGATTCCTAAATACCGGTTGAATATTTTTCTATAGCTAACAATACGCTATGATACAAACAAGGAGAATATGTCTAGACTTTTATGAAGATATTTCCACCACCTCTGCAAACCATTGCTTCAACGCCAATGACAAAACAGCCGGTAACTCCTGAACATTCCTCACAACCAAGTAATAAGGGAAAGGAAACCCATCTAGATACTTTTTCATCTTCCACTTTCCTTCGCCAGGCCCTGATCCGCTGGGCTCGAAGGTTGCCTGGGAGAGGTTCATGATGGAACGGCTCTCCTCCTGAACTGCATCAACAATGATAAAAACAACCATTATACGCTCTTCATGCGCCTGGCGGACAAGGCGAGCAATTCTGTCATGATCCTCACAAACACCATCGGATATAATCAGCTCCAATTGCCACAGGTCACCCGAAGTCGATGAAGATGGCCGTTTAGCTCTAGCCTCGCGGAAAAGAGTAATAGAATCGGCAATAAGCTGCCGTACATTTGTGCCGGTTTGTTTGTAGCTGAAGTGCTGGAATACCTGCGACCCGGCTTCTGAGGAGAACGGCTTTCCAAAGTCATGAGCAACACGGATGTGTTCCTCGTTTCCAAAGCTGACAATGCAAAGATCACCAGTCTCAAGCATGCTCAAACTCCTTGCAACCAAAGCGAGAGTTTGGAATGCAAGCTGACCACTCGAACCTTCAAGCATAGACTTGCTATCGTCTACCGCAAGCATGATCTGGTAATTCCGCTTTGAAGGCACGGATCGACGCATCCATATTTTGTCACGCTTATACTGTGAGGCGATATAAGGAATGATGCGTTTTATATTCAGCCGTTTGCCTGTTCTGAAGTCTCCCCTGAGTTTGGTTGCCATTGTTGGCGCAAGGATAAGGCGTAGTTGTTCCGTTAAGGACAGGGAAAGCTCATGCGTAATAGACTCGTAATGAGTCCATAACCGACGGGCTTCATCGGGAGGCGTCAGGGGGGCCAAGTCGGAGGATATATTTATGACGGAAAGATGGTTATCAACATCGTCAAGTTCGTCTTTCTCCTCTGCTGCTGCACCTTCTCCCCCCTGAGAAGATTCTATACCATTACCAGAGCGTGTTATGGAGGTAGTAGGTTGTTGTTGGTCATTTGACGCAAGCGGCGCATCAACATCCATCAGGTCCTCGAGGTTGTTGATATTGCTGTTGTCGTCTACCTCTTGTGCATCCGGTAGGTATTCGTTATCCTGGGGCTTAAAGTCGGATTCTATTGCCTGTGATTGATTCATTGCTTGAGACTGCTCCTCGTTTGCCTGACCGAGGGCCTGGGTATCTGCAGTATCCTGCTCATCGGCTAGATGTTCAAAGTCAACATCCTTCTCAGCAATATCCTGCTCCTGAACTTGTTCGTTATCTTTCTCAGAAGCCTCCAGTATTTCTCGGTGAGACCTGTGCCATTGTTCAAGGATATCACCGAGCTTCTTGAATGACTGGAGCTGTGGATCTTGTTTCTCATTATTGCCTCCATCACCGGCTTCCTGATTCGATTGCTTCCCCTGTTGGCCTTGTTCTTCAACCCCTTTGCCCTCTCCTTCACCATCTTCCTCCATCTTCTCCGTCGGCTGATCGAAGGCTGCATCTCCAGATGTACCTTTCTCATTGCTCTGATCTTGCTGGACACCGGCTGAAACCTGCTCACTAGGCGCTGTATTGTCAGGATCGGCCTTTTGTTGCTCATCTTCCACAGGTATTATCTTCTCTTTATCTTCTTCTTCGCCGGCATCTGGCTGGGGTTCGGAGTCGGGTTCGCCAGTCTCTTCCTCCCGCTGGCCGTCTTCATCAGCGTTATCATCTGGGTTCTCTGCCATATCAACGTCAGGGCTTTCCGGCTTGGTATCCTTTTTTTCTTCATTGGTATGCTCTGGAAGGTCATCTTGGTTGGCAGTCTCTTCCATGGAGATCTCGCTCATACCATCGTCTGCATCAGAGCTTTCGTCCTCCTTTTTCTCACCATCCAGGTCCATGTCTTCTGGTAAATCAAGGACATCATTTTCCTGGGCGTACGGATCAGTCACATCCATATCTTCGCGGCCAGCGCCCTCTTTCTCATCTTCAGGGGCTTCCTCGTCACTTTCAGTAGTTTCATGTCCCTCATCAGCCTCCTTTTTCGCAGGATCATCTTCCTTGCGCTGCTCAGTAGCGGCAGACATGTCTTCTGCTTTCTCGTCTCCTTTGCTCTCATTGTTCTCAGTATCCTTCTGATCCTTATCATTCGCACCGTCCCACATCTTCTCATCTACGGCGGAAGGGTCCCAGTTGTCAACACTTCCAACTTCTTCGTCCAGGTCATCTTCTTCTCCCTCCTCTGCATCTGACTTGTCCTTTTCCTCTTCCTCACTATCCTTGGAATAATCGCCCTCTTGACCCTCAAAATCCTCGTTGTCCATGTTTACCGCATCGTCTGTTCCTTCAATATCTTCTTTTTCTGCCTCTTCTTGCTTTTGCTGGGCGAGTTCCGAAAGGTCTTCATCGTCTTGAACATCTTTGCTTATGTCCTCTGCACCTTCGCCCTCACCAAGGCCAGTACCGCTCTCCACTTTATCACTTTGCTGGCCTTGCTGGTCTGAGGGTTCAGAAGGACTGCAAAATCCTTCTGATGCGATCTGCTTGAACGATTTACCTAGAGTATATCCCAATTTGCACACTGAATGGTGGAAGGCGGCATATCGATTGACAAGGTCCAGGCAGATAGTTTGATATTGCTCTAATATTGGCAGGCTGATACTGAGCCCAGCGATGGCAATATTAAGCTCACGAGTATCAGAAATTTTTCTAACCATATCAAATACCGATTTCAGTTTAGATGAAATATCGTCAATGTGAAGTTCGGAGAGGGACCTAGAGAACGAGGTATCGGTTTTGGATAGCCATGTAGGGCCCTCCGCTGAGATGGGAGCACTGGAAAGGGCGCTCTGAACTCTTTGTAATGCAACAAGTATGGCGTCCATTACAACAAGCAGAGACGAGTCCACATCCTTGATGGAGGAAATAGACGGTTTATCGGCCTGCCATTCTAGAGCACCGCGGGAGTCACATTCCGCCCAGAACAGAAGCTGATTGAGAGCAAAGGCAATCTCGGGCTGAGACTTCATATGGGCCAGAATTCCAGATTTCATACTAGCCATAAAACGTTCGGCGTCAAGAATTATATCCTTATGAAAGTTGGAATATAATCCATCAGGAAGAGCTGGAAGGTTGATGAGGCGGTTCTGTAAGGATGTCGCAGATTCCGCCCATAAGCCCAAGGATGCCAGGACTGCTGAGGAGTCGATAGAGGAGTGACTCCGATGGATGTTGATAATCGTCAAGGACAGTTCAATTATAGTCGGCAGCCATTTAAGTGCTTGATATATCGTGTGCAGAGTGTTAGACGACCTTTCACTAGAAATTGTATTCACTGTGGAACTGCTCGTAATTGCTGTGGCCAGTTTGACATTGTTAACTAGAGACTTAACCGAGGCCAACACAGGAGAGAGTGTGTCCCTCTGCTTCATCATCTGGTAAAGAAATCCTTCTGTAAATCCAGCACTTCTACCAGCTTCAACGTTGCTCAAGTCTTCAGAGTAGTTTCGTGCAGCTTGACGGATGCTTGGGACTATGTGAAGGAAGCGGTGGAAGTACTTGTCTGCGGTAACAGACAAGGGGGCTAGGTCAGGGGCGCTGAATCCGGGAGTAGTAGCGAGAACCAGGCTAACGGAGCTCTGCTTATCGAGTAAGTCTGTTCCAAGATTCGATCGAAGCCCCATATGACGCAGCTCCTTCAGCTTTGCAGCATAGAAGCTTCGTTTTTGAGTCTTAAGATGTTGGACCTCATCTTTGTTCTCTTCCGTCAGCGTTTTGGGAGTTCTCTTTTTAAAGTCGGAAATGGACGAAACCACGTCAGTCATGATGGCTTCAAGTTCAGTGGTAGCTTGGAACTCTGGTAAGGAGCCTTCATAAACCTGGTGCATGTGTTTAGCTGTAGAATCAGGGGCTTGGAATCGGGCAGGTCGCTGGCTCCATAGCCCTTCATTTTGCTGGTAAACGCTTAATGCAGCAGGATTTACAGCCTTGAGTGGAAGAGACTGAGAGACAGCTGTATCCTCATTATCTGAAGTGGTCTCAGGGATTTCTCTTGCGAGAAGCTCTTCACAAGATTGTGTTAGGAGGGTACGATACTTCCCGATGATTTTGAACAATTTGTGGTGAGAACGACGAGCACTTTCACGAAGTGCGGTGATATTCGTATCTTTCCAGCTTGCCAGTTGAACTTGTTCCTTTAATTCCTTTTCCAGTTTCTGCCGTCCATCTTTTAGAGAGCTTTGGACCGAAGAGATGAAAGGCCCATAGTGGTCAAGAAGATTCTTAAGAGCCGAAACTACCTTACCCAAGCCTGGAAGGTCAGGAAGATAAAGCATAAGGAGTTGCCTGAACTTGTCGATAAGATCAACACGGGACGAGAACTGCCCCATGGATGTAGCATGTAGGAATTTCTCCAGTGTCAACAGGAGGTCTGATATATGACTGTCCAAGGGCTGGTTGTCTTGTATCAGCTGTAGCGGGACTGCCACAATGACCTCGTATGCCATATACCACCAAGATGCCGCTTGCTCTAGGCATTTCTCATCTTCCACATCGAGCAAACGGGACCAGGTAGATAGCTCAAGGCGTCTCCAGTGAATCAGCGTCGAGGTCAAGTCATTGTAGCAGTCGGCTGCAGAAAATTCTTTGCTCGCAACCGTTTGCCATTCATGTACGTGTCCATGAAGTTTCTCGGCCATTGTTATAAACTTAGCAAGGGGCTCTCTATGCTGGAACTTGAAGATTTTAGAGCACCATTCAACAACATCGGCAAGGGTTGCATGTTCAGGCCAGGATTCTTGTAGCTGCAAAAAGCGAACTTGCACCTTCTGGACAAGAGAAGCAAACTTATTCACTTCCTCTATATTGGCATCAGTATAAAAGTTGTAGTTGGCAACTTTGCTTGGTCGATGAACGTCTTCCATGAGCAAGAAAATGGGACCGAGATGGAATTTTAGATCGACCGGTGGTATCGTCACCCCCGACTTACGCGATATTGACCCTAACAAGCGAAGGCCTTCACTAATCACATTTCTTAGACGGGAAGCCCTATTATCAGACACAAAGAGGCCCCTAAAGGCCGTGAATAGTTTCATACGAAGCTTGTCACCATGAGGCTCGGTATTTGCAGTTTCGTTGCTGGGCTCGTCTTGGTTATCATAAGTAGGGAACATCTGGAGAACTTCTGCGGATTCTGACTCCTTGTCGTCCTCAAAGGATCCTCTGTAATGATAGAACTTGGATTTCTCTGCTTCGAGAGACTGGTCGTTTTCCAGTTTCTCTTTCCATGAGGAATATGCTCGATCGAGGATACCATGTAAAATTTCTTTCTGGGCAGGCTTAAATAGAGTCTGGTTATCAATGTTTTGAGCGGCGCCTAGTAGTAGCAAGGTCTGAACATCTATCTCTGCTGTTGTAGCTTGGGATCCTTTAGCAGGAGAGGGCCAAGCAAGCGATAGATCTGGTAATTTTCCCCCTAAGAAAGGGGTTGTTGCGCATATATATTGGATAAGGGGGGAAGACCGGGTGGAAGACGCAGCACTGTGACGGATCAACTCAATCCCCTGATCCAGGAGCTGGAGAAATCTAACTGGTAAGATCGTCATGTCCTCATATCCAGGGCAGTTCTCGGAAAGACGATGGGCGATTTGACGAATATTGAGTTGGAGCAATGTTCCCGGTGCCTGGGAAGAGGCATCCTTAGAAATTGACTCGGTAAGGGGTGCTTGGGAGGCCGAGAGGATATATTCAATTGGCTGATTCAAGACAGAGGTGAGAATGCTGCTAAACTGAGCTTGCACTTCATTCAGTTTCGAGATCTCAGGGCGGACCACTGGAGTATTCGGGGGTGCAGATCCAAGACGAGCAAGATCTTCTCTTGCAGCTTGAATTCGTAAGCTTGATGTCTGCCCAGAAAACAAATGCTCACATGTCCGGAGGCAATCCAACCTCGTAGTCATCTCATGCTGTCTATGCAAATGGAGCTTATGCTCAACAGCAAGATGCAATGATGGATCGAATGGTCGGTTTGGAACATAGCAATGCAGGAGGACAAGAGATAGCCTGACTAAAAGTTCCCCAAGTCCACCGATAGCCTCCTCATTAGCTTGCGGTGTACAGAGCTTTCGGAACAGGATAAAAATTTCATTCCCTAGAAGTTTGAAGACCAGATTATCTGATACCTCCGGATGAACTTGGACTGTGAAAATACCAGATTGCAAATCTTCAGTCTCTCCTGTCTGAAGCTGCTGCAGGATTTCCATAGATATATCCACGGAGTCTGATCCAAGCAAGTCTGCATGACACCGTATGAGCTCCTTCGAAAGTTCCAAAATCCAATGTCTAAGGATAGTAGGCTGATAAGTAGAAAGCTGGCAGGTGTTTGCAGCTAGCCCCTGTAACAGGAGGCTAATTTCGGATCCTAGAAGATCCATCTGTCCAAGGGGCACCTGGTTGATATCTTCAACTTTCTTGACCAGAGAACATGAAATATTCCCAAGCAACGCCAATGGGCCACAGTGCGAATTTTCGCTTCCTAGGTACTGGGTAAGTTTAGAGAGTAATCCGGGGGCCGCACTGGCAATTACTGATGTGTCGGTGGGACGAGATTCTCTTCCTGCCAGGAGCTTGATAGATCCAGGAAGTGGAGCACGAGGCAAGATCTTGTCTTCTGCTAGATCATTATATTGGCACAATGCTTCAAATTCTGTAGCAAAGTGAGGAGAGTCATAAGAATCCGATTTCGAAGATTGGGCTTCGAAGCGAGATATTGTTGTGTTCAATTCCTAGAAAACCACCAGTAAGATATGAGAAGATGCACGGAGAATAATACTGGTAACTTACGGGTAGTAGGGCTGTGCTATTCGCACCCCGTAAAATTGAGGTTTGGGCATGAATAAATAGGTCATAGAGCCGCCCTAATTCATGAACAGGCACTCGTGACTTCAATGCTACCCGATCATATCTGGTCCTAAGTTCTCGGAACTGCATCCCCTGTTCCAATTGACTGGGGTCAGTGGGTGTGGCAGGGCGCCATGAATTCCATATACGTTGCATGCTCTTTCCGCTGCTCAACTCCCAGTTAGCATTGAAAGAGGCCAGAAGTTCTTTGAACTGGTCCACCAGCTTGAGTTGAAGATGCTCAAATTCACCACAGATATTCTTTCCAATGAGAAGGTATGTCAAAAAGGTAGCATCGTCCAAGAGATGACATTGGGTTAATTCAAAGCTATCCCAGCAAAAATTCAAAATATCCTCGACCAACTGAGGGGCCTTGTCGGGGCAGGATTCCAAGGTCAGTGACTCTAAACACTCACTGACTGCATTGCAACAGCCATAAATGAAATGGCCAATCGGCTGTGTCGAGTCTTTGAGGTGAGACTGTATAGCCCCCGAAGTGATAGATCGTTCTATGAGAGTCATTTCCGCTGACTTTTTGCCCCTTGCAGCAGATTCCACGTGCAAAAGCTGCTGATAAAACTGGACAGTTTGTAGCTGAAGTTCTTGCAGCTTTGCCGCCTGTAAAAGTTTCTCTCGATAGTTCTCTATTGGGAGCGAAAACACAAGTCGTGGTTCATTTATAAGGGGATGGATGGGCTAAGAAAACGTTAACAATATATCTGTAAATAGGGCAAGGAATACGGACCTCATTCTTTTCTAGGTTGTT